GTCCTGTATTATCTCTGTCCCTAGTGCGAGCAGTTCTGGAGCTCTCTGGGTGTGGGTCCAGCTCCTGCCCCCCAGTTTGGGAAGGCTGCAGTGGACCATCAACTCCCTTCCTTCCTCCTGCCATGCACTCAGGACGTGAACATGCCTGGGATATTGAGCAACACTCTTGGCAGATATTCAGAAATTTGGAACACTCTGGAAATTCACTGGAGCCTTGTCCCATTGAGTGTCCGGGTTCAATGGAGCCTGCCAGTGTCCAGGGATTTCGGTATCCAGGAGCATCCAAATGCCCAAACTGCCCCCTGAGCTCAGCAGGGATGTGGCAGGGTCAGGGACCTGACTCCATGATATGTAACTCCTGTGGCAGCAAAACAGAGCCATTACTGCTCCCAGGGGGATTGTGGAAATGGATACCCTGCCATGGTCACAATTCTGGGAGAGCAAAAGCCACAGCCAGGGCAGCAGTCAGCATTGCCTGTCCCTGCATGTCCCTGAGTTGTGTGGCAATCAGGGAAAGTGGTTCTATCTGGGGAAAGGCTGTGGGGTACCTAGTTCCATTTGCAGCCTTTGGAACTGACAGCCCTCCCTCTGTCCCCCTGTGTCCCAGCCAGGTGCCCGCACTGCCCTGCAGCCTTTGCCCACCCTTTCCCCTCCCGTCCTCGGCACCCCTCTTGTCCCTTTCCTTGTGTCCTGCCATCTCTTTGTGTCCTGCCATGGGGCCCATTGCTGCACCCAGGAGTGCAGGTGGCAGACAGAGGCTTGGCCACATCAGGGCACCTGGGCCACTGCGGAGCTTCCTGCAGGTACAGGCACATCACAGGGCTCTGGGGACAGAGGGACACAGGGGATGCTTTGCTCTCCTTCTCCCCCCATCAATTCCCAAGCTGCTCATAGGGAGCATGGGCAGAATGTTTGGGGGTGACGGGCTCATCCAATTCTGATTGCTCTCCTGCCCCTCCTCCTTGGGACATGAATAACTGCTAAATCCACTCTGTGCCACTGGGGACCCCATCAGCCAAAACGGCAACCTGACATCTCCCACATTAAGGGAGACACTCAAAAGTGCTTGGGAGCTGCCACTGCCAGCAGGGATGGCAGGAGCAGG